AATAATATATGTGTGTGTGTGTGTGTGTGTGTGTGTATATATATATATATATATATATATATAAAATAGTGTGCATCTCTCCTCTGAACATAGAACAACTGTAAATTTCTCTTCCTGACAGCCTTATCCATAAGGGATGACTTTTTTTCAGCAGCAGGGGAGAGTGGGATATTAGGTAAAATCTTCATAGTAATATATATATAAAAAAAGACCAGATTGGTTCTATATAAACTTATCTAGTCTCTTACAGCATGCATATTGCCCTAATGCACATGCATTATGGGATCTCCGTTGAAGTAATTGTTGTCCAGATAGCAGTGATAGGCAGAGGCAGAATTGTACCCTGAAATCCTATTCACAAGAATATTGGGGTGATTTTAACAGATGCTAGATATTTACAGCTGAGGTATCAGGTGATTTGTACTTCCAGTTCCCTCCCCAGTGACTTACATCCATCCTCCAGCCAGAAGTTGACCCTACAATAACTTGAGAGAAACTCTTATGTAGAGTGCAAAAAGAACGAGGAGTACTTGTGGCACCTTAGAGATTAACAAATTTATTTGGGCATAAACTTTTGTTTGCTAAAATCCACTTCATCAGATGCATGCAGTGGAAAATACAGTAAGAAGATATATATATACACAGAGAACATGAAAAAATGGGTGTTGCCATACCAATTCTAACGAGACTAATCAATTAAGGTGGGCTATTATCAGCAGGAGAAAGAATAAAAAAAAAACCCAACAACTTTGAAATGGGCCATCCTGATTATCACTACAAAACAGTTGACAAGAAGGTGTGAGTAATGGTAGGGGGAAAATTAGCATGGGGAAAATAGTTTTTACTTTGTGTAATGACCCATCCACTCCCAATCTTTATTCAAGCCTAATTTAATGGTGTCCATTTTGCAAATTAATTCCAGTTCTGTAGTTTCTCATTGGAGTCTGTTTTTGAAGTTATTTTGTTGAAGAATTGCCACTTTTAGGTCTGTAATTGAATGACCAGGGAGGCTGAAGTGTTCTCCGACTGGTTTTTGAATGTTATAATTCTTGATGTCTTATTTGTGTCCATTTATTCTTTTGCGTGGAGACTGTCTGGTTTGGCCAATGTACATGGCAGAGGGGCATTGCTGGGACTTGATGGCATATATCACATTGGTAGATGTGCAGGTGAACGAGCCTCTGATGATGTGGCTGATGTGGTTAGGTCCTATGATGGTGTCCCTTGAATAGATATGTGGACAGAGTTGGCAACGGGCTTTGTTGCAAGAATAGGTTCCTGGGTTAGTGTTTTTGTTGTGTGATGTGTGTAGTTGCTGGTGAGTATTTGCTTCAGGTTGGGGGGCTGTCTGTAAGCAAGGACTGGCCTGTCTCCCAAGATCTGTGAGAGTGAGGGATCATGCTTCAGGATAGGTTGTAGATCCTTGGTGATGTGCTGGAGAGGTTTTAGTTGGTGACTGAAGGTGATGTCTAGTGGCGTTCTGTTACTTTCTTTGTTGGACCTGTCCTGGAGTAGGTGACTTCTGGGTACCCTTCTGGCTCTGTCAATCTGTTTCTTCACTTCAGCAGGCGGGTATTGTAGTTTTAAGAACGCTTGATAGAGCTCCTGTAGGTGTTTGTCTCTGTCTGAGCGATTGGAGCAAATGCGGTTGTATTTTAGAGCTTGGCTGTAGACAATGGATTGTGTGATGTTGTCTGGATGAAAGCTGGAGGCATGTAGATAAGTATGTAGAGTGTTCTTTTGTATGGTTATGCTATATCTAGCTTAGCTGATGTTACAGAGCACTTCCATATAGCAAGGCTTGGATGCTCTGTTGATTGGCTCTTTGGAAAACCCTAAGTTAGTAGACAGATACCTAAATTGACACTTGACCTTCACTATGGTCTGACAGTTTATGGGAATAAGATAGAGGTGAAAATGTCTATCTTTGAGGTGTAGTATCACGGTCTAAGCACATTATAGGATGTTCAGTTTACTTCTCTTCATCTTAGAGGCTGAAATTGTCAGCTGTAGAAACCTCTCACACGTACTTGTGTGCTGTGAGAAACACAACGTTTTTGGACATGTGATGAAGTTTAGAAAGATAGGGTAAGTAAAGCACTATCCTATTATAGGGAATTGGGGAAGCTCAAAGGGTGGGATTTCATTTTGTTATTACACCCAAGCAGTTCTAGTATCAAATCTAAAAAATCCTGTTTTTAAAATTTTGTAGTAGTAATAATTCTAACAAGCTGTACCCTGCTGCGTCTAAACTGTAGTATGCACAACCCTCACCTTTCTCATCATAAATTACCTGATTTTTTTCATATCGAATGGCTGTAGGATTTAATGACTAACTCCACTAATGCTACCCATTGCATCCAGAAATCAGATGGAGCAGCAGGATCCCAATCCAAGAGAGGGAATTCCTGACAGGAGTCACATGCTTAAAGCTGTGAGAGGAGCTGCCACTGCTTCCTTTCAGTTTTGGTATCTTCCTCGGTGCTTTCAGGCCTACTGGGATTATCCCCATTGCAATCTTCCAATATAACGATCGTGTCATCTCAGGGCCTGGCTAGTTTCCTATTTAGCCTTTAGAAAAGAAGGGGTTTGAAAACAATATTAATCCATCCCACATGCATTTCCTCTTTCAGTTCTGCTACGGCTTAGACGTTGTGGTGATCGTGGTTTTTCATATACACCTCTACCTCGGTATAACGCTGTCCTCGGGAGCCAAAAAACCTTACCGTGTTATATTGAACTTGCTTGATCCACTGGAGTGCGCAGCCCCGCCCCCCCGGAGCATTGCTTTACCGCGTTATATCCGAATTCGTGTTATATCGGGTCACGTTAAATCGCGGTAGAGGTGTATAATTATGCTGTTACTTTGAATTGATGGTTTATTTTATATAGCCATTTGTTTATGTGATAGTACTATATGAACATTGATGAGGCATATTCCCTGCCCTGAAGAGCTCTCTATCCACAGCCCTCATACTCCAAGGGATTGGAGTCTAAATGAGGCTTGCCCTACATTAGAAAATTAGGTCCGGGGGGGATAGCTCAGTGGTTTGAGCATTGGCCTGCTAAACCCAGGGTTGTGAGTTCAATCCTTGTGAGTTCAATCCTTGAGCCATTTAGGGATCTGGGGCAAAAATCTGTCTGGGGCTTGGTCCTGCTTTGAGCAGGGGGTTGGACTAGATGACCTCCTGAAGTCCCTTCCAACCCTGACATTCTATGATTCTGTGTTGCTCTAGCATGTGAAAAACAGAAGAATTCTTCTGTCGACCTAGCTACCGCCTGTTGGGGAGGTGGATTAACTGTTTCAATGGGAGGGATTCTCCTGTCAGTATAAGTAGTTTCTACACTGACGTGCTACGGCTGCCCAGCTTCAGTGGTGCAAGTGTGCCATTGTAGTGTTTTGAATGTAGACAAGCCTGAGATAAGACAAATCGTGGGACAACGGTTCAAGAGAAGGAAGAGTATGAAGATTTCTGAAGTGAAGAAGTGGGTTTTAAGGAAGCATTAGAAGTAGAAAAGAAAGAGAGCTTAAGAGAGATGATCAGGGAGACGGTTCCAGGCATAGGGGTGGGATGTTAGGAGTGGGAAGAAAGGAGGAGGAATCACAAGACTTAACAAGCCAGAAAGAAGTCATAGATGTAGGTGGAGACAAGATTATGCATCCCTTTGTGTATGAGTCTGAAAAGCTTGACTCCTAATGCAATAGGAGATGAGCAATCAGTGTAGGGAGTCAACAGGGAGGATAGATTAGGTGAATTTAGTAAGAAATCATCACTACTGAGCCAGAGGGAAAAGTTCCCTGTTAATTTTTTTCTGTGTTAAAAATCTCCCCGCCTCTCTTTCCATTATAAAGTGCTGTTGTTCCCTGTCAGCTAGCCCATTTATCTGCCTGATCCCTGGATAACAGCCAGATCTGCATTTCCATTTATCCCTTCAAATATAATTGAATTGTTCAGTCAGGTTAGCAGAAGGCTGACTTGCAACACCATGCTCCTCTGAACACCACGAGT